GAGAGAGAGAGAGAGAGAGAGAGAGAGAGAGAGGGGAACTATGATATGGATGTATCTTGAGGGATTAAGTTTCTGATATTGGGCAAAACCTGGTGATTTTAACTTTGAGAAAATGTTACTTTTAATTATTTGTATGACCTGACTTTGTGCCCCCTAAATCCTCTTTTAATCTTACAGCTGTTTTTTGACTCACAGAAATGGGTTGCCAAGTATGCGCCTCTACTTACTGTACTCTCACTTGTGGGGCTTTTCATACACACGGTTGCTAGCCCCTCCAAATCAAGTGCAGCTAAATCAGGCAAGAAAAGGCGTTGATCGAGGTCAGGATGTATCCCGGTATTCCTCTGGTGCTCAATTTGGAGTCAAAGAACTTGTACCTTTTGGGTGCATATTTTGGAGGTCTTCTTTTTAGAGATATAACTTATCCATTGCCAAATCTTTTCGTCAACTGAGAATGCCGGTAACAACATCATGATCTCTATAGAAATTACATGAGACTTCCGACTAAAGGTTGCCTACTTAGGGGCACAGTTTTGTTATTGGCTTTGGGCTGTTTCGTAGTTAGGGATGCCCTTGAGATATTAAGAATTAATGAACTAAACTTCCTCAAACGCTGTCTTCATTTTGGGGTTGATGTTCTTTTTGCTTTTTCAGTAGGATTCTTGGAAAGTAATATTTTATTGTCACCATATCTAGCACAGTAAACCTCAAAAGTTTTTTATGAACCTATGTAATATGATTATTATTTCTCTGGAGCTTTATGACGCCTATAATTCAATTCGCTTACTAGCTGGAGTCTTGGGTTTGCTTCCTCGAGTACTTACATTAGGGGTGGCAATGGCTGGACCTGGACCTGGACCTGGATCCGGCCTTTTTGAGTCCAAAATTTGGACCTATACCCTGACCTGAGGTTGGTTTTACCCGTCAGGTCCCGGGTCTAGTCGGGTCCATTTTCACCCATCTGATTATGTGAGATATGTGGACTATGACTATGGACTTTTTTTTTTTTTTTTTTGCCCTTTTTTCTACCATCATATTCTTATATTATTGGTGATATTTTTTTTTTTTGCCCTTTTTTCTACCATCATATTCTCATATTATTGGTGATATTTACAGTATTTTAAATACGTACATTCCTTGCTATTTTATATAATAACTGGGAATTCCTGAAAAGCAAACATATTGGTAACATTTATGATTATTTGGGTCGGGTGCGGCTAAATCTGGACCCGACCTTTTGGGTCCAAATTTTGGACCCATACCTGAGATCGGGTCTATGCGTCAAGTTCTTGGTCTGATGGGGTCCATTGCCAACTTTATACGCCATGGTTGGGACTGAATGGGGTATTGACTAAAAATTCACATAAAATGGGTACGCTTGGATGGGTCACGAGGCAATTATGGACCACCAAGCACGTTTACTTCTAGGGTAATTATCGCAACTTGACATCTAATTTAGCTTAATTGGGAAAAACTTTCAAACTTTAAGAAACCTTGTCTGCACATTTTTTTCTTTATTTTTAGGTTGTTTTGGATGAAAATGACTTTTATGGTAGTCGCTTTACAATAATTCATATTAAGTTTTATGATAATTAAAATACCGTAATAATTTGAAGTAGTATTACGGTAATTAAAATACTGTAATAACTTGAAGTAGTATTACTGTATTTTAAGTATCATAATAGATAGCGTTTTATTTACTGCATTCTTTCTACCGTAATTAAGCGCTTGATCAATGAGAGAGATGAGATTTGGGGGAGAGAGAGGGAGATTTAAGAGAGGGAGGAGAGAAAAGTGGTGTGGAGAGAAAGAGAAAGCTTAGGGGCGGATGTAAATAAAATAGAGATAAGGACCAGCGGGAGAGTTGAAAGGGATAGAGATGGTTTGTTGGGAGCATTGAGAGAGATAGAGGGGGAAAATTGAGAGAAAGAGGGATATGTAGGATTAAAAGTGCTATATAAAATGAGTAAAACATTACGGTAGTTAAAGTACCGTATAAAATGGAAACATTACGGTAGAAAAATACCATGAAGAAAATGTTATTTATTACGGTACTTAAAGTATTGTAATACTACTTCAAGTTATTACGGTATTTTAATTACCGTAAAACTTAATATAAATTACGGTAAAACGACTGCCGTGAAAGTTATTTTCATAAATAAAATAAAATAAAAACCTGAAAAATAAAGAAAAAATGTGTAGACTAGGTTTTTGAAAGTTAAGGTTTTTTTTTTCCAATTAAGTTAAAGCATAAGTATGTTTGTAATAATTACCCTTAATTCTATTACTGCTGGAATTATTGTAACATGTTTGAACTTTGAGGTTCTAGTTCCACTTGTCTTGCACTTGGCACAAATAGGGCCCTAAATGCTTGCAAACTCAAGCCGAAAAAAAAGACAAAAGGTTGTTTTGACCATAGTTATTGATAGTTATTGAGATCGTATCAGTCCATTTTGTCGATTTGGTTAGTTAGCCAACCGGTGCCTTGGCTAGTTTTGTCTAAAAAAAAAATTAGGATTGGTGGAAAATCGGCTAAAACTTGTATTTGATGGATTTTCTCCTATCTGATTGGCCAACCAGTCGGACCAGTTAAACAAAATTGGGCATTTTTTTTTTGTAATATATTTTATATTTGTCAACCATTATTCTTATTTTCGTTTATATTTTGAAAAACCCATTAGCAACATGTCTTCAACTTGTCAATAATCATTTTTATGGGGATGTTACAGTCTCTGAAAAATCAAATCGGAACAGTTAATTGGACATGGGGCTGGGAGCGGTTGGAACCGGAATCAGACTAATTGGATGGTTAACTCGGCCAGTTTGGTTCGGTAGAATTTTTTTTTAAAAAAATGGGTTACAAACTCCAAAAGAAAATCAAAAAGTGTAGAAAAACATACATTAAGTGTATATTATCTTATTGCTTATATTTATCTTTAAAAAAATTTGAAACAAATTTTTATACAAATTAATAAGTGAATACTATGGAGATATGCAAGATAATTTAAAATTTGAAATTAATTCAATTGAGAGAGTTACAAAGTCCGTCTAACAATAGCTAGTAGTAATGAGAGTGGCGATGGGGGTTAGGGTATTGTTGTATCTCGATATCAGGGTCCACTGAGCAAAAGATCTAAGTAAAGGCCTGATGAAGTATGTAGTGTCGCAGTTGTGCCCTCTCGCCAGTCAAGAACATTTTCTGCGTTATTACCTTGGCCAAAGTCTCCTAGACTCGTTTAATCTTCGTGGTTTTTCCCACCCTGTTCTATATTATGGCCCTTAGCAGCTTCGACATTGTCCTCATTATAAATAATCAGGTTACGGTGCCAGCTACTGCTTCGTCTCTCCCTTACAGAGTAGTTGCTGCACCTCGATGCTGGACTTCCTCCCAAGCCAATCTCAATAGATCTTCTTCCTATACATCGGGCACCGTATCATGTTGTGCCCCTTCACCTTCCTTGACAACTAGACCTTGCCAATCATTTTCCATAGTCCCATATGTCTCATCGTCATTGTGCTACTCATCTTCGTCCTTTGTGTACTCGTCATAATCAATGTCCATGTCCACTGTCATGTCTCCTTCATTAGGTGCTACAATGTCCACATTATTATCCATACCAACAATTGCCCCCTAAGGAAACCATGATCCAATAGTGGGGTCCTTTGTGATACCCACCTGTTGATGAGGTAATTCCAGAAGATATAATCAAGGTTGATGGGCATGTAGTCTATGGGAGTCTTCATTATTTATCTCTCTATCAATTTTAAGTTGTAATGGACATACACCAAGTTATGCAGCATTTGAGTCTTTAACCTATTTCGCATAGGGGTAATTATCCACTAGAATGTACTCTAGTTTCTCTTACACTCCGAGGAACGACATGTTGGACTTAGTACTCTTACTGCAATATTTTGTAATTACTTTGTTTGAATTTTGTGTATTGTCTATCATTTGTTGACATAAACAAACATAGAAATACTTGGCAATAGAAAATTAATTAATTTAAAAAATTGCACAAATAGTATTGTATTAAACTATTATAAGTTATAACTAACCTAGGTGCAATTTTTTAGTTGCTTTTTTGGCATTGTTGTTTGCAAATTCCCCATTTTTTTTTATGTACATTATAAACTACAAATAATAGGAGGCGTATACGAGAAATTAATACAACATATAAATGCAGTTCACTATTTTGAATTAAAATTTTTATTATAGACACCTTTTGCTTAAAGTTTACCTGCGTCATACACTCCATTTGAGTATCAAGATCAGACTTAAGCCTATAAATACAATTTCTCACCCCCTCTATAATATCTGTATCATCTAAGATGGCATTGGAGTATAAGTTTTGTGGCTTAAGAAAAAACATTGCACATGGTTTATTATATTATTAATTACAACAAATTTACTCTGAGTTCATAAAGAATTATGAATTGTAAGGATGAATCATAAATTGTGTGTTGCATAGATATCACGATGCAGTTGGTGTCTCCACCTATGATCAATAATCGCCAATATCACATCAGTTCATATGTTATTTTAAACTATATTCTAAACTATGGCTTCCTTTACGCGTTTCATTGTGTTGAACAGGAACCATATTACTGACTTATCATCAGAGTCAACTAACCTCAACATTTATATTAAATGTTCAGTTACATAAACGACATGGTTGCATTGAACCCAAAACCTCTAGTCGATAAGGATCTGTTCAACCTCCTTTCGTCGTTGACTCATGGCTTCCCTATCCACCTGCCACGCGTCAGAGCGTATCATTGACATCAATCCTGACTTGTTGCCCAACATTGATTGTATAGTAAGGAATAATGTGGGGAACTTAGTAGTAGACTCACTGACAATCTCTTGCATGCAATGCTCCATCATCAAAGCATGGAGGTACATATGATTGTATATGAATCTTGTAATCAACTTACACTTCAAAATATGATTTTTAGCCCTCTTCAGCTTCCTTAGTCCTTAAGCATCAAATTAATATAATGGGTAGCACAGGGAGTCCAATAAAGATTGGGTCTTCTCTCCATTAGCAACAATCCTGCTTTTCTATAATTCGTAGCATTGTCAGTCACTACTTTGACCACATTTTCAGCCCCAACCTCATCTACAATCTTGTCCATGTGAAGCATAGCAATCTTGCTATCTATTTTTTATTTGATAGGTCAATGTTAGAATGGTAAACAATACGCTTAGGGGACTTTATTAAAAAATTGATAGGATGTATGTGGTCCTTGTCCTTCTAACCGTTTGTCATGATGGTCACTCATGTTCCTAGCCAACAAACATTGAATTGTGCAATATGCTTACCTACATCATGGACAACATCTCAACATGGTCCTGCAAGCTCCTTCGCAGTTGAGGCTCTAACACCCGTCCTGCATCAGCTATAACAGATACCATTTGTGGGTAGTAGTATGTGTTCGCAAAATTAAATGGCGAGGTTTTAACATACCAAAACATGCTAACATCTTTCTCGCCCTTTCCACTAATTTCCTTGCTAACATAAATTTTATTTTTTTCTGATGGTATTGTGCCCTGTGGGGGTCAAGTCTAGAGGTCGCGGGTCAGTGGTGGCACATCTACTAGTTCAAGTTGGTGAGTAGTAGATGGCCAACTATAAGAAACTGGGCGACTATAGAAATTACGTCTTAGTCTACTAGATGTGTACCTAGGCATTGATGGCTCACATTCTCCCATAATCGGCACTACGGGTTGTTGAGACTGACGGCTAGATGATGCACCATCCCTTCTATCATACATTTCTTGAATT